ATTCCTAGAAGTGAAACCTGAAACAGAAAATGAAAAGAAAAGCCACTAGTCATCTGAGAACTCAAATGCTTTGTATCTTTTCATCATATTTCACCACAGGCAAAAATAAAATTATACTACAGAATGTGTTTAAAATTTTCTCTTCGTTGAAGGTTTGCCTCCTGGTTAGGATTCTCCTAGTTTTTAAAATACCAATTGTCATCTAGTTAGATGTGCAGTAAGTATTCCAGTGAATGGGTTTGCTTTAATCTAAAGTATACCAAATAGTAAATTGAAGCATAATCAGTTAATATTTGATATTGTGAAGTTCTCAGTAAATATTGTCACAGGGCCCTTGTTTGGGTTTTCCAGACCACATCCCCAGCAGCAGATCTTTATGAGAAAAGCCTGTTTTTTTTTTCCCAAACACAAGACTTCTGTTTATGTACTGCTCCCCTAAGGGACACTGGCCAAGGCCCAAAGAGAACACCCTTCCTTAAACTCTCCTTCATTTGTTTTCAGTTTCCATATATTTGATGTCGGCATGGTCTACTTTACCAAGGCTGCCAGGCACCAAATAAGAGGTTTAGCCTTTTCCACCATCGCATGGATAATGTGCAGTGCGTCCATGGGCCTTCCACAATGGCGAATTTGGTACTTGGAAGAACCCGTGGTTTCCTACCCAAGCATGGCTTTTGTAGGTATGTGGAGGGCCTGTATCTGCCATCACGCTGACAATTCCAGCCACCTGAGAGTCTGCCATCACTACTCCTACCGTGACACACTTGTTCCTTTGGATATCCGGGTAGCTCAACATCTACTCCTAATTTCCTGCATTCTCGGTCTGATTGGAACAGCTTGTGCTGTCTTTTCTCTGCAGCAGGTCTACACGGAGAGGCCACAGAAGAATAACAATAGCAACCCATTTGTCTTTTCGGCTGTCCTGAATGCTATTGCTAGCAGCTTTATTTTTCTTGCTGTTATGTGTAATTACTTCTCAGTCTCTGGCAAAGAGGGAATAGTTTTTCTGCCATCATTCCAAATGCCACTATTCCCATATGCTCAAAGAGCAGGAAGTGCCATGGGAGTGGCAAGCATAGCTGCCATATTTTTTTTATTAAGTGCTATAATTTTTATTTCTTACTGTCCTACCTCGGAAAGGGAAATGCTTCCTGATGTTTGAAAATAAATTTACAGCATGAATAACCTTAGAAGTCTAAAATTCTTTGTGGCGCCACTAGGAGGAAGAGTGGGGTGTGGCTCGGGTGGAGTGGGGTGGGATGGGGTGGCATGCTGGGTGTTAGGAGCTGCAAAGTACCGCACCCAAAAGATGGAGTGGGTTTCTGCCTTCAGCCAGCCCAACGGCAGTGCTCTCTGTGGTAAACAACTCCTAATTTGGTAAAGGCCATGTATCCTCTTAATTCTGCTTGGAGACAACCTATCCTGGAGCACTACATAGGGTTAGGTGATTGGTAGATGTAGACTATATCAGGCCCCATCTTCCTCTACCCGGGGCCGCCATTCACTGTAAATCAAGGTTCCTGATTAAACTGTGAGAAAAAGGTTCCTCGGTTTTACGTCATTCTTGCTGGTCAAGGGTGGATGCAACAAGTGGTGGCCCACATGGGGAATCAGAACTACTCATAGTCGGGGTGGCGTCCGTAAGTTCCCAAGGTAAGGAGGACAATAAGGTCCACGGTGAGTGCGGCAATAAGGTCTCCGGTAATGGAGCAATAAGGCCCTCGGGAAAGAGGCAATAAGGTCTCTGGTAAAGGAGCAATAAAAGCCCTCAGCAAAGAGGCAATAAAGTCTCCGGAGAGGAGCAAGACTGTTATCGGCAAAAGCGAACCAAAAGTAAAACACCTCGCTCCTGCTTTAACTTGCAGAGTGAGAGTAAAGTGAATGGACCCCACTATTATAGTGGTGATTTGGCTGCTCTTTAACATTGCAGTGTGGGCTTTTGTTTTTTGGTTGTGTTATCCGACTTGCACACCTTTGGAGTGCACAAACTAAAACAAAACACAATGGGATCGTCACAATCACATCCAATTTTTCTGTCTCTTCAAGAGCTACTTCATTCTAACAATTTAAGGTTAACTAAAGCCACATTACAGAGGTTCCTGAGTGAATGCGACACCATTGCACCCTGGTTTGCAGCCTCGGGCACTCTCACTGTGGATAGTTGGGATAAGCTTAGAAAAGATCTAGATTTTGTCTGGGCACAGGGAATGCTGAAGCCAGGGACGAGGCCCCGGTATGGTGACTGGTATGCAGCTATCTAGAGGACCAAGAGGGAAATAAGAAAGCTATAGCGAATGGACAAGCTGCCCTTGAAATGCTTCAAGAAGAAAGATCAGAACAGTCAGAAAGTGAGAGAGGAAAGGAAAAACAGAAAGGGAATAAGAAGTGAGTCTATCCTTGTCTGGGAGAATTGAGGAAGGAGTTAAAAGAACCAGGAGAGGATTCAGAATCAGAGCAGGATATATGTGAGGATGAGGACCTCACGGAGGATGAGGAGGGAGAGATTATTGAGCTCATGGAAAAACATTCCTTAAAAGTACCAGAAAACAGCACCCTAAAATGGTGACTGTAAAGCAAGGGCACTGCCCTATTGCTCCTCCCCCTACTGCTCACAAGAGGAAGTAGGAGCTCCTGGTTGTTCCACCTTCTGTCTGGAAGTGTGCCATACTGTTCACACTGAGTTCCGGATTGCTCGACCACTGGCTTATCCAGTTTTTACAGATGGTAACCAACAGAGATATTATGAGACCTATGGGGTGACGGCAGCTTTTACAATTGCTCAGGTAGAGGCGCTCGGTCGCTACTGTATGACACCCAGTGATTGGACAAATTTGGGGAGAACTTGTTTATCCCCAGGACAATATTTGGATTGGAGAGCTTTCCAAATTGAGTT